GTGTGGTTCACTCAATGAAGCCAATCGTTTTGCGAAAAACTCGAATCGGCTGCTAACTTCCCTCACATAAGAAAATCTCTTATAGGTAGATTTTGTTTCAGATTTTTTCAATTTCCTCATGTGCTGAATTAACACAAATTGCGACACATTTACGCCGTAAGCAAACATTTATTAAGGTTAACAGTTTTACTTTTTTCCTAAAAAGAGGAAAGTAAATACTCTGCTCTCTTGAAAGAAAGGAAAAGAAAGCCGAAAAACTTTATTCCTTGTTTCTCATGTTGCAAAAGATTGAGCGGAATTCTCTTTGCTGTTCTACAAAGAGAAAGTTAAAAAGAAAGTGAAATGAAGTAAAAGCTAAAGCTGTACAGACGGAGATCATAAGTGCTTATACGGGCGTAAATGTTTGTTAGGTCTTGAATAGAAATGAGAAGTTACAGTTATTCACTAGTTCCATTAGCAAGTATTAGCAATGGAAACGTTGCAACTTTATCGAAGAAAAGGTAATTTTGTGAAAATAACGATTGTTTCATAAAGTTTAATCAAAGATTATCGGTGAGACGGTTACCGATCATTACGCTTCACTGCATGTATGCTATCCTCTTCGCTATATCCACTTGCTATGGGTTGACCTTGTGGTTAACTCTCATTTTTCTATTGCGGTACCTTTTTCTCTGTATTTCTATCTACTCATTACCATGTTATTGATGAGCATAGGCGCACAATCTTTCAGTTCGTCGCCATTGCGGTCAAGGAATCCAAATGGAACTTATTGATTCAAAAATTTTTCAGAAATTTTCTTATATTTCCTACCAATATATGTCGTTCGTTTTCAATAATGATAAGAACCGATGATAGTTGTCAGTCAAAATCAAGCATTTTTACCCGAAAATGGTGTGAAAAAGTGCCCTATTGTGTACTACTATATTTCGAGCACTCCTTAATGATTTAAAAAGGGAAACAATACTAGTATCCGCGGAGGATGAGCTACAGTTTGATATCAGTAGATCACCTGCTGTTGGTTTCAAACATGTAAAAAAACATGCTTTTCTAGTGGATGGAAAAAAAACTGATGAGTCCGTTACCAAGTGTTGAGTGCATCGCCCTAATGTTTTGACCGTAACTCTGTGTAGAAACAAACTTGCGACAAGAAAATCTTACCATTGTAAAATTTGTTATTTTAGCCATAAACACAGACATAAACATTTTGTTGAGATCGAGAAGTTCTCTAGGAATGTGAGCTTTTTCAAGTCGTTCTAATGGAAGAAGTTCTTTTGAACGAGTGCGTTGCCATATTTTCTAGCCTTGAAGAGTCGTCTCAGCTCGATCAAATGAAATGAAAATTTTAGTGAAACTTGAACTCTCATATATCTTGCTACAGTTGAAGTTTGAGCTCTTTGTCACGTTAAATTAATGAGTTATGACTAACCGAATGTTAAAAATGCGTTAGTGCGTTACCTGCAGAGAGACTGCGAAATTGGTTTCTCAAGATTTGAGTTTTATTTTTCCCTAAATAGCGAGGGCATTATTGAAAAATAACGATCTTTTATAAAATTGATCCAAGGTGAACATGATTGACAAATTCGAATCTGTAACTACTGTTGAGACATTTTGAGTTTCATTTTTTTTTACTCAAAAAAAGTTTTTAAGCCAAAAAAGCCCTTTTTATATTTAAAACACTTTTTTGTGAAATTATTGATGCTTTTTACTAAAAAAGCTTCCTATGGTAAAAAGAATCGAACTCCAGATTTTGAGAAATCGATGACAGACTCGAACTGTTAAACCCCATTTGCCTTTGATTAAACTTTATGAAATAACCGTTGTTTTTATAAACTTACTTTGCCTTTGATAAAGTGGCAAAGTTTTCACTGATAATACTTGCTAACGGAACTAGCGAGTAACTGTAACTTCTCCCTTCTACTCGAGACCGAACAAACACTTATGTTCGTATAAGCAGTCATGACTGTCATCTGCACAACTTTAGTTTTTACTTCTTTCACCTTTGTTTTACTTTCTTTTTAACTTATTTCATTTTTTTAATGTCTTCTGATTGCTTTCTTTTCTTCTATTAAACTTTCTCGTTATAGAACACCACAGGAGATTTGACTGATGCTTTTACAACTCGAAAAAAAATAAAGTTTTTTCACTTACCTCTCCTTTTAAAAAGTAAAAAGAATGTAAAAGGGCCACCCTAGCAAGCTAGTTTATTTTTGCATACGTAAAATAATTTTCGAAAAAAAAATTGTTTTGGCTCTCCTAAAGGACTACGGCACACGAATTTATATTCGAAATTTTGTTTTAGGGTTCAATAGATAAACTAGCTTGTTTTTTTCAAAATTCCAGCCTGATTCGTACCATAGATTTTAAAAAAAATATGGCATAAGAGGGGAGAGGGGGAAGGGGAGGAGAATGAAAAATTACATTACCACCACTCATCCTTTTTATATGAAATGGATCATATTTGATCCAGACTCGTTTCATTTATGAATGGGTTTGACGAAATTGACATCAGGGAATTACCTTGTGGACAAAACATTCTGCAACAGTGGAAACTAGCGTACCTGCGAGCTTTTAACTTAACTACGAGTAACTGCATCGCATTTTTATCATGCTTGTTCAAACCTACGACACCGTTACACGTAGTTACGACTAAAAAAACTGTGGTTACGCGCAACTGCGTCGAAGTCGCTAAAACAGAGGCGACAAAAACGCATAGGAACTTCTTACCTTCCATACATTTACTGAATGTGCCCCTTTTTTTAATGTTCTTCACTATTTCAACAGAATCTGTCTGTTTACTCTCTTTACTGAAGGACAAATCATATAAAATAAAATGAGTTTGTGCGTTTGTATGCTTGCACGCACGTGTCTCCGTGTACTGGTGTAATTGATATAGTTTAACCAAACAAGTAACGTTCATCGTCAAGCGATTCACTTAGCCCTAGACTGATAGAATACATGTACGGATGTAATAGCATAAAAAGCTACATTAAAAAAGTAATACGCAAAATTGATAATATAACCAGTATATCTTAGGCGAGCAGAAAACTTAATTCGGAGAATTCTCACTCTAAGTAAAGATAATGCATTTTACAAATTTAATTTTTTTTTGTCGTTTTTGTTTTATTTTTTTTTGCTTTTATAAATATAAACAGCGCTCGATAAGATTAGACAAGAATACAATTTTTTTTGCAATTATATTGGCGCTATTTGTACGTACAAAAATATGAATTATATTATTCATAAAATTTGAGTTTTATTAATCAATATTTTATGCTTCAATTCGCGCATTAATTCTAAACTATTAATAAATTAGATATTCATTGATACAACATTGCACAATCAATCCTACAATAATGAATAATTTAAACGATTTCTTTAAATCCATACTGCTCATTTGGTCTGACTCTCACTAATTAAATGCTTTTGTAAGCCGTTTTACACCACTACCCGAATTATAGTTATTTCATTGACATTTTACCGATGATTATTATAGGTTCATTTACATCAGTCTTTAGATGGTCATTTGTGCCATAGTTACCGGAATAGTTGTTTGTACCATGGTTGCTATATGGTCATCTGTGCCATAGTTACCGGAATAGTTGTTTGTACCATGGTTGCTATATGGTCACCAGGGCTCGAAACTGGCCACCTGGCCCAGCGGCCCGGCCTGACCCGGACCGGCCCAACATGGCCCGGTCCGGGCCAACAAATTGTTTTTGTTGGGCCGGGCGGGCCAATCGAAAAAGACCAACGAGCCGGACAGGCCGACAAGATTGTTTTTATTAAATTTTATAAATGTCATCAGGTTCAGAAATTATTACAAAATATATATCATGGAAATGTCTATGAAAGTATCATTGGATAGTACAGTAAACCAATAACCTTTTTGTTTATGTAATCTGTTATTGGTTTTCTTACGGTTGCTTTCACATGTAATCAACAAAAACTTCTTTCTGTTCGTTGTTTTTTCTTGTGATAAACTTCATTTATTCGTGGAATATGTAAAGCATTAATGAATACCGCTAATCTTTTCTCAGATGAATGTTGATTTTTTTTCATTTGTTCTACATCTAGTAGTTTTTTGTGGTACTCGTTAATATCTTCTTTTGTTATTACATTAATGGTCCAATGTCATTAAATTCATCAATAAATTATTGATGTACTCTACGAAAATTTCTTTTGAAATACAACGTTTATTATGATAATCAGTTCTGCAAAAAATATTTTCTAAAAACAATTTTGCTGGGCCTAGGTTGGGCTGGGCTGGGCGGGCCGACAAATTTGATGGGCCAGGCTGGGCCAGGCCGAAACAACGACAAGTTGGGCCTGGTGGGCAGCAAATTTGATGGACCGCTTTGGGCCGGGCCGGGCCAGAAAATAGTGGCCCATTTCGAGCCCTGATGGTCACCTGTGCCATAGTTACCGGAATAGTTGTTTGTGCCATGGTTGCTATATGGTCATCT